CATGTGCACTGCGGCCGCCGAACCAAAAATACAGTTTTAAGTAAAATTCTCATAGTAAAATGCATAAACTAAAGGCAACTAAAGTGTTTACCAATAATGGATTAATTAAACACATTTTGATATATGCAAGCAATTATTATGTGCTTATTAAAAATTCAGCTAGCAGGGGTTAGGGAGATAGCTCAGTGGCATAAGCATCTGCCTGGTAACCTCAAGGACCAGAGTTCAATCCCTGGTACTGCATGCAGTGTTGGACCCCAAAACCAGGCATGGTGGCGCATGCCTGTAATTCTAGTCCTGGGAGGCTGAGACAGGAAGATCACTACGAGTCTGAGCTGCATAGCGAGACCCTGTACCAAAAATAAACTAAATTCAATTAGTATTGATTAAGATGTGAGATCTCTATGGCATAACATTAAGTAAGAGAGTAGTTGTCAGAGATCTGTGAAAGGCACAGTTCTTAGGTTGGCATTTGTGGTAAGGGTGTCTTCCTAGACTGAGCATAAGGTGGAGTGAACAGGATACAACCCATCTCACCTGCCTGCACCAGCAGCCATAGATCAGATGGAGTTTTATGAATGACTTTATTACAGAGATGGAGTTCAAGACATAGACCGTTATCCATCAGTTGCCGAAAAGTGAATCATGGTGTACTGATGCCTTTCATGACATGATTTTAAGGCTTTAACCTCGCTATCGTTTCTTGATTATAGTTAATGCAATGGTATGTATTTTCCTGATTATTGCTTTAAATACCTGTTGGATTATTTTTTGATAATTTCTTAGAGGAATGACTGCTGAATCATAAGTATTTAGTCCAGTGCTCTCTGGCTATGCAAAGGGAAGTTTCACTTTTTAAAAATTCAAACTATATTTTTAGTTTAGAAACAGGAAAATGTGTTGATGAACCACTTGTTTGTTGAGAAAATTGTTATATTGGGTTGATGCAGGCGAACTGGAAAAGATGTTAGGGTAACATAGCCTTCTGTGATAAATTCCTAAAAGAGTTAAATAATCATGTTATAGAGAAACATACATGTGTGTACTTATAGCAGTGCAACTGACAAACTCTAAGCTTTGGAAGTGGCCTAAACTGCCTTCAACCATTGAACAGAGAAAGTAAATATGGTATATGTGGTTTAATGAAAGTTTTGTGAATATTTAAAGGTAAAATATTTATTACAGTGAACAAAATTTTGCCACCCCATCCCCCCCCCAATCCACACTCTGTCAGGTATCCCATCTTTCTTGCCACTTTCTTAAGCAGTTCAGGAAGGACTTTCTGGTCTTCAGTCTCACTGTTGTGATGTCTCAATGTCCAGAATTGATTGAAAACATTGAAATTTCATGATTTTTTGACTTCAGCCAAGACCTAAAAGTGACACAGTCCCACATCCAGTCAGTAAGGTAGACAAGGACACCGCATAGTATTTTTACGATCTTGCCTTACTTTAAAGGCACGCTGATCAGCATCCTCCATGGTGTTTTTCGACCTTGTAAAGACATTCACAAAGCACGTCCTCCAGAAGTTCTGGTTCTCTTACATGTACAAAAAATTGAGAAGATAAGATAAGAAATAAAAGTTAAACAAAGGGGAGATGTCAGGAGACACAACGGTAGACTTAGTGGAGATGGAAAAGATGATTAGAGGAAGGGAGAGGGGGTGGGCAAAGGGACTGAAAACGATCAAGACAATAGATGATATAAATGTAGAAAAATATACAGAAAATATAGACTTAGACATAGATATGCAAATCTCCTGAAACAAATGTAAATGTTCTGTATGAGCAACATATACTAATTTAAAAAGAATGATACTGGCTTAAACTTCTTTTTGTTGTTCTCCTTAGTGTTTCAGCTGCTCTTCTCATTACCGCCATTGTTTACTGGAGCTAGACATTGGACCACAGCCCACAGCATGCGAGCCTTCTGCAACCGAGCCCCACCCCCAGCACCTGCTTGCTCTCTATTTTCTGTTAAGCCTTCAGGGGGCCCTGGTTAATCCTTGCCTCTGGTGCTCCTTTCAGGAACATTCCAATATCAGCTTGTTCAGGCTCTCTGAGGAGAGCTGTGTATCTTCTGAGACTGAACTAGGTAGAAGGGACCACTGAGAATTCACTGGAACTCACCACACCTGCCAGTGCCCAGGGCTGCACCACGCCCCCGTCTCTACCTGTCTCATTTTCTGACTTGAGCAAAGGGCTGGAGCAAAGGCCTGTGCCAGTGTGCGATGGGGGAGAGGCATTCGCTGCCGCTGAAGGGCCCAGGTGGCCTCAGCGTCTGTCTCCCTGGGAGGGCAAACTGCAGGTTGGTGCGCTTCAGAGCACAGTCATTTCCACAGTGCGCTGGGTGTTTCCTGGTGGACAGAGTTGTCCTCCTGCTTTTCCTTCCACTCCGGCCCATCACCCGACTCACTGAACACCCTGTTTGGTTCTTTCTGTGTACAGGGCAAGGCTGCAGCTCTAGGAGCCTCAGCTTCTGTCTCCACGTGGCCTCTCTCGCCATAGGTCCTCTAACTGCTGGTGGTGCTCCCAGTGGGTCTGCTCCCTGAGTAGGCAACAGTCTTCTAGCTCCTCAGGCTTCAGGACTTTGTCACTGCCATGTTTGCCTGGAGTACCTGGTCCTTCGTTCTTGCCTGCAGCACAAAATTTTTCTTGTCTTCACTCAACTGTCCCCTCACTGAGGAAGGCTTCTTCAGCTCTCCCAGCAGAAGGTGAACTTTCCAGGTGCCCAGAATGTCCTGACGGTGCCACTCAGTCAGGGTCCACAGGGCATGGTGCTAGTGTGTGACTCCCTGTGCCCTCACTCATCCCTACCCTGTAAGCTGGTATTCACATTGCCCAGAAGAGAGCCTGGCACACTGCAAGTGCCAGGGAAATATTTGCTGGGTGACTAGATAAATGGATGTCTGAGTGTGTTCATGACTGGATTTGGAGTGCAGGGCAGAAGATTCCAGAAGGAAGTGTCCACTTGGCTTTGGACTGGCTCAGATGGGTGCTGTTGTCTCCAGATTCCCCACTCTCCCAACTTCTCCATACATCAGAAGAAGAAATGATTCACTGTCGTCACGAGCATATGGCCCATGAAGGGGGTGTAGAGCTGCTGTCCCTGGAGGAGCTCAAGACCCTACTCATGGGTCATGTGTTCTGCCTCGTGGAATATTATAGTGTGGGGCCTGGGGTTAGGCTGAAGAATGGAGAGGGATCCTGCCCATCTGGACATGGCTTGATGTGGGGTAAGAGAGAAAGCTGAAGGCAAATGGTATGACTATTGGAAGAGGGAGTAGACTCTGTAAGAAGTTGAAACTTAAAGTAGTCCATTTACAGGGTCCTGTGTGGTGAGATTCCAGGTGCCCTGGAGAATTTTCCTAAAACTGGAAAGAAACTGGAAGAAATATCAGCTTGGCAGAAATTCTAGGCTTCTATTGTTCCTTCTTGCCAGTGTATAAGTAATAAATTTAATTTGCTGAAATGTGTGTGGGAGTGTTCTGTGTCACTGGACTTGTGCAAGTGGTAGAGGAACTGGGGCAGGGTGATCCCACAACATAAATTTGTACAATCAGCAGGGCCTGGTCTGTCTTCTTGGTGAAATGGGAAGGGGACAGCCCTCAGCACCAGGCCCAAGGGCAGGATCAGCCTGGGGATATAGGGGTTGGACATGAAGGTGGACATTCAGTGGGGAAGCAAAGGTGACAGACGGGACTCATTCATGAATATAAGGGAGCTGGGCACATGGATGGAGAAAGAGAGAGAAAAGTCAGGCTGAGAGCATGGTTTATGATGCCCTCTGCTGAACATCTATACAGTCAACCATTTCTGGGGATGTAGAGCTAAGAAAGTGGGTGCTACCGAGACATGATGTCAAGATGGACATCATGTGCTCAGGTCAGCACAGACGTACACAACAATCAGGAAGTCCTACCCAGACTGGCTGGTGTGTGCTTTATAAAGGGACTGGAGAGCTTCACATCCTTGTAATCCCAGAACTCTGGAGGCTGAGCCAGGAGGATCCCCGTGAGTTCTGAATTTGAGGCCAGCCTGGGCTACATTAGTGAGTTCAAGGCAAACCTGCATTACATAGTGAGACCTTGCAGATGACGTGATGCTGTAAGCAGAGGACTCCAGAAATTCCATCAAAAGATGTCTAGGTTTGATAACTAAATTCAGTAGCATAACTGCATACAAAGTCAATACTCAAAAATCAATAGCCTTCTTATACTCAAGAAATAAACTTACTGTGAAAAATTAGGGAAGCAACACCTTTCACTATAGCATTCCCCCCAAAAAGAAATACCTAGGTGTCAGTCTAAGAAAGGAGTAAAAGAAGCAATAGCTTGTATTGAAAACTACACCACTCTGAAAAAGAAGAGTGAAGGGGATAACAGAAAATGGAAAGATATTACTTGCTCTCAGGTAGCAAGAATCAGTATAGTGATAGATTCATATTCCCAAAACTGTTTTACAGATTAAATGCAATTGCAATAAAAATTCCAAGAGCATATCTCATAGAGTTAGAGAAAGCAATAATAAAATTCATTTGAAACAAAAAGAGACCTAGAAAAGTGAAGCAATTCTGGGTAACAGCTTAGGCAGGGGGCATCACAATCCTGCACAGGCAGGGCAGATATTAGTTCAAAAGTCAGGCAGCAGCAAAAGTAGCTACATCTATATTGTTTTCATTGATATATACCATTAGCCCATATTTGCATTCTCGTGTACTGGTTTAACAGTATACATTCGTGGTTGTCCAATGCTAAGCAATGATTATATAATCACAGTCCACTTTGTGCCTGCACCAGAGAGTGGAGTCCCATCCTTATGCAGCCTCAGACAACTGACTTGGAAGCAATTCACAGTGTCCCTCACCTCTTACCCCATCAAGGACAGGCAACTGTTACTCTTCATGAGCAGACTATAGTTATGACCCTTACACAACTTTAAAGGGAGGAGCAGAGCACTACTGATCCCATTGTCACCATAGTGTAGCTTAAGGCTGCCTAGAACCAGGTGGATCCCAGAGATTCCCAACACTTGGTGAGGGGGGTCTTGCTGTAAAATGTGGAAGGCAGACACCTCCATATTCATTTTCTGCAAGGCCTCTTGCACCTGCATCTGGTGGCCAGGGACAGAAAGTGGCATTCTACATGCAAGACGGCACGAGTCAGCACTGCAGTCAGCAGACAGAGATCCATGCAGTTCTGGAGAACCACCTTCCTCGTTCGAGGAGTCTGGCCCATGAGCAACAACAGAGCCTCATGTGTAACATTCATGGCCTGGGCCATGTGCTGAGGAAAGGCTTCAACCTGAAGGGCCAGGTCTATGGTCCCTGCTCCTGGCATCGTCAAGGCCATTAATAAAACCACCAGGCCACCTACTTGGACAGAGCTACCTGTGGCACACAGAATCCCAATTGTAAGGTGTGTATGCAAGGGTGGCTCTGATAGTGAACTTCACAGGAGCATCTCTCCAGTGTGCAGGTAGGTACAGCCAACCTGTGCCACCACAGACCCATAAGGCTTCTGCAGTGGGCCCATTGGTCGGACCGTAGCAATGACCATATGCTGCCCAAACAAGTATTTGTGTCATTTACCACTAACATCAAGTTACACAGATCATGGATATCCACCTGCAGTTCAGTTTCCTACTGATACCTTTAGCCTATTCAGTACAAAGCAAGGCTACATCTAACAATGTTGTTGGATTTCCCATCATCCACCCGTAGCCATTGGACAGAACAGGTCCCAGTCACTGTAGGGTGGTTGTGTTCTTCTAGAACAGTGTTATGGTGGCCTGGTCAAAACACATTTTACTGCTACCAGTCAGTCCAACTGAGCAGTGTTGCTGGTGCAGTTATCCATGAGAGGCCCTCAGCAGTGTCAGCTCTTGGCTGTGTCTGAGTTTAGCACACACCCAACAATGTGATAGTTGGTGTCCATGGGCAAATGTGTGTGTCCAGGAGACAATGCAGTAACATGACTTATCTGGACCAGAGGACAGAAGGAGAAACCATTATAGGGAGATCCTGCTCTTCTATGAAGATGCAGGTCACATGTACCCTGGGATGGGATTGTGTCTGGAATCAGTTTACCAGCTGGTTTAGAATAGGAAACCTGGGTTTCTATCACTATTGTGGAAAAAGGAGTCAGGGCAAGGTCTAAGCCCCCCCTACACTCACAAAGGGGGCTTGGCCTGGCAGCCACAACATCACTGACTTTTAGAATGGTGGCTCCAACACTGGGCTGAGTGCACACCGAGGTCAGAAAAGAAGTCTGGGGCTACACTTTCAGAGCATGTTTAAGTTGTTCGCCCAGGGTCCAAGAGAAACACTCAGTTCTCTACTGGGGGATCTGTCAATCATCCCAAAACAATTCATAACAGTATGTTGGCCCTACTGGTTCTAATGCAAAGAGGATTAAGGGCCCTTGGGTTACCTTAGGCCTTTGCTTTGTGGGTTAGATGAAGAGATGAACCAGCTGTGCTTTCAGGAAGCGATCAAGGGGATGTCACCTGTATTTTGGGGCAGGTCACTGAGACATAAGGACCAACCTAAAGCAAGACCCACACTCACCTTGCAAACTTTGGTGCCAAGAAAGTCAGTTTGGTTTTTAGGGGTCCCTTGAATCTTTCAACCAGATCAGCAGCCTGTGGCTGCTGGGCTCGTGGAAATGCATCTGACTTTGACTCTGGCCCATTTTTGCACCTGAGCTCCTGTAAAATGGGTTTCCTGGTAAGCTACCAGTCCTGGTGTCATCCCGCATGCAGCTATCAACCATTATAATGCCCTAAAGCTATGGGCCTGATCAGCAGAGCTAATGGGGTAGGTGAATGTGTTGGACAATGTCTCTGACCCCATGAAAGAGCGAGGGGCCTGATATAATCACCTGCCGTTGAGTAGTGTGTGCTCACAGTATAGTGCCACTCTGTGTGGGTTGCCTCCTTTTCCAGAGGTCAAATTGGTACCCCATCAAATCTTCCCTACAGCCTTTGACTTAGCAGGAGTCAAGTCCAGGTATTACTGCTCTGCTACTGTTTGCAGGGTATGGGGCAATAGGTGTCTCAGTATTTATGGATCGAAGATTCCAATGCAGAAGACATTCCATGGAGAGTGGCTACTGTTGTCAAGGCATCTGCTAGGTCATCCCCTTGCAAGAAGAGGGGCTTATGTCCTCAAACATGGTAAACTACATGGCCAGTCCTTAGGCCATGCTCCCATGAGTCTCACCATGAGCCAGCGACCCACAAGGGTCAGTGCCCTACCTGTCGATCCTGGGCTGCCCAAACTGACAGGCAGAAAGAACATCAGCCCCCTCAAGAAAGCCCAACTGTCTGTGCAAACAGGTAGGGGACCTTCTTCACAAGTAGCCACACTGCCCGCAGCTCTGCCCATTGTCTCCATCTTCCTGT